TGATAAACACCCTTCAAACAAAGACTGAAAGTCACTTGGGATATCTTGGAATTACTTTATTCCAGAATTGAGAAAAAGGAGCTCTTACTTTATCAATTTTCGACTTAATTTTTGAATTTATGCTATGTGCAGTTTTTGGCCAAAAATGGGGTCGGAAAGTAATAATAAACTTCCGGAACATGATCAAATAATGGCGGACGCGAAATCGTGAATTTAATGGCCCGAAAAAAAGATATTTTTGGTGCTCGGTCTAAACTGAAATTTTGCAGACTAGGTGAAGGAGACATACTGAACACGAAAATGGAAAAAAATGATGTACGGAAATTTTGATCTCACGGGCACTTTAAGGGTTTGCGGTCCGACGATTACAAACTCACCTTCAGAGATTTTTAGTTCTCTGAACCAGTTTTTGAATTCATATTTTGTAGGTGACTTGCAGGATTTTAAGTTCAGAGATTTCGAAAGCGTCCCTAACGACAGAAAATTGTTTTAGAATGCCCTTTGAAATCTTTTCCTTAAATCCAGGTTGCAGAAATGTACAGAAGCCAAGAAACTGTGAAGAATAATGCAAATCCTCCACCAACTACAGACGCTTCTGATGATTTCTATTGATGCAAGAAATGATTTTTGCCATGTCCTTTGCAAAAAGAGATATTGGCGTTTCTTGAAAGCATAGAAAAGTGATTTACCTGCACCCTTTGAAAGCATTGCATCGTATGGTCGCAGTAAGCGCTTGTTTCGACGTAATAATTTAAGGACTTGTTAAATTTTCAATCAAGCTGTTTTACGAGCTGCTCCTCTGACCTTTCACACCCTTTAACTTACGAGAGTGGTCAGGTTTTAATTTCCTCTTACAGTTAAGACACCGTCTAGTATATAGGTAATGAGAATTATGCCAGATAAATCTGCTGCACGCGAAGGGTCTAAGCGGAGCCCCATACCGAAGTAAACAAGAGAACCCATCGAGGCGAGGTGGTTGTCTGTGACAAAACTACCTTTAGGGTGCGTTACAGGCTGCACGGTGGTCAAAAGATAGTAGAGCCTAGACAGGCAAACCGTTTCTTGTTAACTCGATCGTAATGAACTTCACGACCTGAGGGAAATTCGGATAAAATGGGGGGAAGCAAAAAAGGGACCAACTCGAACTCTAGGGTCAGCCGAAATCTATCGCAAGTAAAGATAGATGTTTTTGTACACGATCCTCGCAGTAAAGAATACTATTTAAGAAATAGTGAATATCAGACCTGAAAAAATTCAGGCCTGTACGGGATTCAAACCACTGGCCTCTGCGATACTAGTGCAGCGCTCTACCAAATGAGCTAACAAGCGAACTGGGAGTAGGTCATCAAATTAATTCGACATAAACCCGTAGGATGATAAATCAAACACAACGAGTATATGAAATTCATATATCTGAACTCCGGTTATAGAAACGTATTTGTGCAGGATCCTCGCAGTAAAGAGCACTATTTAAGCAATAGTGAAAATCAGACCTGAAAACATAGAACACTTAACAACTGGGTATTACTAAAACTTACTCCAGTGTTAATGCAGTCCACATCTATATGTGACAATCTACTCAAATTCAAATACAACTAATTAAAAAAACTGATCACTTAAGTAACAAGTATTATATTAGGGGAGCATTCAGGGGAAGTACGCCGCCATAGAGAAAGTGAAACGCGTGAAAAGTTCCAATACTGTATGCTGTACTCTCTGATGGATTATTTCGGTGCTTCCCGCGAATCTCCAAGGAAGTAGATTGCTACGCAGCTTCATCTGAGAATTCCTGGTTTACAATAATACAGCAATATGCCATAAGCTATAATTTGTCTTTCTAAGAATTATGAGATTATGTGAAATACCGCAACTATATTTTGTGCGAATATTGTTGCCATGTGTATTGATCACTTGATAAGCCTGATAGTCACTCTACCATTTCCAGCCGTATTATAACAACATTCATTTTCCTGATTTGTTCCACTATTAAAAGATCCGCCTCCTCCGCCACAAGAGAGATTGTCGTTGTCACCTCCAGCTCCCCCAGAGTAACCTCCACCGCCGCCAGGTCCCCCAGAGTAAGGTGGATTTCCGCCGCCACCTCCAAACCCACCGTTATGCGTTCCACCTTTCCCACCGTTCAGAAATCCTTTGCCACCTTTACTGCCTCCTTTCCCATTAGCGTTAAAGCCGCCGCCGCCGCCACCTTAAACAATAAAACAAATGTTTAGTG